ATACTTCACAATGGATAACACCAAATATTACCGAATTTAATGGCACATTCATAGGACGTAGTCGAATACAGGCTGTTATTAACAATGATGGAAACCTTTTTATTTTTGGAGGAATGAATACTACAACAACGATTTTATTTAATGATATGAATATGCTTGATACTACTACTATGACATGGTCAACACTAATTATATCTCAGAATATTCCAGCTCCTCGTGCTGATTATACTGCTACATTATTATCAACAGGAATTATAATTTATATTGGTGGCCGTGAAAATTCTTCATCTGAAATATTTTTAGTTGATATGAATACGGTACGATTTAAATAATATCAAGTCATTATTATGTTATTTTTTTATTTTTAATTTAAATTTATATAATTTTGATTAAATATATAGATTAAGATATTTGACACGAAATCCTTAAGCTGGTCTATTAAAGTAAGTCAATGTATAAAATATTCATATATAATTATGAGTAAACCTCAATTTTCAATAAATTAAATTAGACAGCCAATGGTGACACTATTGGATCTCGTATAGGACATTCAGCTGTTTTAAGTATGTTTTATAATAATAATAGAATAAATTTTATGCAAAAATTTTAATCAAATATTTTTTATCAGATCAAAATGGAAACATTATTATCTGTGGTGGTTCATCATCTACTGATATTAGTTTGTATTCTATTGTAACTCCTTTTGTTGCAGTATTGAATATAAACACATGGGAATGGCACGCTCCAAATATTCCTCAAAATAATACACCACCACTTGCATATCATTCTGCTGTATTATACGGAAACTATATTATTCTTGCATTTGGTAACTAACATACTATTGAACTGTTTGAATTCTTTCTTTTTATAAACTGTTTACGAATATTTATATATATTTAGGTCGAATTACAAGTGCATCAACTGTGAAAGATAATAATAATGTTTATATTCTTGATGTTACCACAATAAATGAACCTACACAAGAACCTCAAAGGGCTTCAAAACTATTTCTTATAGGAATTTATATTCCTTTAGCCATACTTTTATTTGTTGTAATTTTATTTTGTTCCAAAACTTTGTTATATAAAAAATTTAATATTGCTTGTTATATTGATTAATTAAATTATATTACTATGGCTGATAGATTTATAAATATTATTGAATTTGAAACATGGACCAGACAAAAGGTTAATGTGCATGTCATTTTCATGTACGCATCTGGTACGTATATCAATTGTTCCAATGATGTTGCGACCTAAACCGTAACTAGCAAAGCTTATGTCGTAACTAGTAACTATTGTAAATCAAAATCAAGCAATAGGCACCACACCTCTATTCTACTTTTTTAAATATCAAATTAGCAGAAACCACAATGAGGTCTTTAGACAATTATTTCTGCTAATCAAAGATCAAGAACGTAACTTATGCAAGTACTTGACATACAATACACACTTATAATATTTAATCGAAGAATAGTTATATTGTAATATTCTTATTTAAAGTAAACATAAATAAAATATAGCAAGACTTTATTTAATAAGAAGAACCCAAACAAAAGTTTGCTTTAAAAAATAAAAAATAATAATAATTATAAAGGTAATACAAGAAATGGGTTTCATGCGTGCACATGAATTCTCAATCGTGCGCATGTTTCGGAATTATCTAGATTTTATATAGGAAAATTAATATAGATATAATTTAGGCCAGAGCGTATAATGCCGGCGGAATTAAAAAGTAGGAAAGCAAAAGTTACAAAAAATTCCGAAAAGGAAATGAATGTACACAAAAGACAAGAAGGGTTGAGCAAATATTTGAGCAAAATTCCAATATTTTTCGAAGGGAAAATATAAGATCAAAAAATTGTCATTGATATTATGCGCATTTTTATATAACGTGCGCATTAATACACATGTTATTATAAAAATACGCATATTATTTACCATAACAATACTTGAATTTATAATAAAAGCTAGCTTTTAATATACGTATTTAAAACATATAGTTTAGGGCTTTAGAAATTTTATCATTTGTTATAAGTTAGAGTGGATTAGTTTAGTTGATTATTATGCTTGGTTAAATAATTAGTCCTTACAGTTATAAAATAACAATATGTATTTTATTTTGAACCATCAATTAATAAATATTTATAACCATGTCCAAAGCATAAAAAACAAGACTTTTAAAAAGAAAAAAATGTACTAAAATTTAAAGTAGCTAAATTGAATGGTATATAAAGTGATAATATTAATAATACAAATTTGAAGGTAGATTTTGTCAGCAACATTCTATTTACTCTTCATCTTCATGTCTTGGAATACCAGAGTATAATGAATATTTACAAAATTTAGTATAGAATATTTTACTAAATATACTGGATAGCAATATAAGACTCAATGATATAAGAGCGAATAATGGAATAATGTCATATTCAACGCAAAGTAAAGCATAGAAAATCTAATAAAATTAGTATATATATATATATATATATATATATTAGAAAAGTTAAAGAATAGGCTATTAAAAATTTTAAAAACATTTTAAACATACGTGCCTGAATTATAAATTGAGATAAATCTGCGAGGATTATGTTTATGCAAGATCCAACAAAGATTATGAACAATGTTTTTTCAGAAAATGGTGCATTAAAAAACTCTAGCCCAGCTAAACGTGATTTCAAAATCAACAGTACATCAATATCTATACTTGCTAAAAATGTAAAAACAGTAACTATCCTTCCAAATTTTGAAAACCAATTGTAGAATTTTTTTTTAATGTGTTCGCTGTCGATTATCCAGAACGCTAATATAAAATTAATTGCCAGAGGAACCACATAAAATACGATGCTAAATGTTTGTTGGTTTAAATATTATTTTATTTTGCGTTATTTAAGTAGTACTTACAGTAATGAATTATATTTAAACTTACCTTGGTATAAGAAGATTTGGAATGTCTCTGGAATTAACAATAACAAAAAGTGTAATAGATACAAAACGAAATATGATAAGGCCGAGTTGTAAAATGATAAAATTTTGTCCCTATATTATTTAAAAATGAAAAGGTACAAGATAAATATTGATGATTCTAATTAAAGTAAAGAATGAACTATTTATAAATCATTACCGAGGGTTCTTTCCTTCTTGCTATAAAATATAGCATTATAATAAGTAATGTAGCCACGAGAAGTCCCACAAAATTTATATAGCTTATTTTTAAAAACTCTACTGGCGATACTAATGAAACAATCATCTAAATTAATATACGATGATAAAAGCCAATAAATGATTGATTATTACCAATTAACTGAAATCCGTAGCTTTCATCTAAATATTTCGTAACATTTCCTCCTGATATTGCTGTAAATTCTTTTTCCAATATCAATAAATTCAAATCGTCTTTGATTACTGAAGCAATACTTTCATTATTATTTCTTGATTCACTAATAGAAAGCATTATAATAATCTGCTTTGAGTCGGACCCAGGATTATATAATTGATAATGTTCATTTGAACTTAATCTTTCCTGTTCAATAGGAATCATGTCTGTAAGTTCTTTTATTAAAATAATAAAAAAGTCATGCTTTCCATTATTATCCAAAATTTGAAAATACTGTGATCCACTCTTTGTTAGCAGCAGTTTTCCTGAAACACCTATTTAATTATTAAGATCATTATATACAGATCTCGGGATATTATTAAGTATTGACATTATGTTACCTGATTGGTTTGACTTAGGCAATATAGGCAATATAGGCTCTATTAACAATGACTAGTTAGACTAATGATTATAAAAACTTATACCCTAAATTACAATTATGCTCTAATGATAAATACATATAACAGTATTTCGACACAATTTCCACACAAGACAATTAGTAATAAAGGTAGTGACAGATATTATGTAATATTATGATCCCAGATATTTTATGCTTAAGTAATTTATATATATAAGAAGAGAAAATCTTACTTGAGTAAAATGATATTACATAACACCTATAAATACCTAATATTCCTTTTGCTAATTGGTGTGCAAACAATAAATTGGTCTAGCAAGCCATCGAGACACACCCTATGGAGACAATATCAAGGAAATTGTGTGCAATACAACTAAAATTAATAATTGAAAGATGATATAAACCTGTTTCAAACGCCCATACGTGCTGATCAATACCAAGCATAGGCTCATTGTATTCTGCACTTTTTACAAAATCATAGTCCATCTGTATATAATATTGACCACCTGGCTTATTAAAAGTGCTGTGCAACACACTAAATTGGATAGTGATCTGATTGTCTGAAAGAGAGCAATTACAGGTTCTTGAATTAATAATCTGTCGAATAATACTATTGTTCTGATTAATTCTTTGAAAAATAGTTAGATTGCCATTTGAATATGAAATAGGTTCATGAAACGTAATAGAAATTATGTCAAAATTCAATTGAATTTTAACACCAATAGCAGGAATTGTTGAATTAATTTGTAAATTATTATATCGATGATCTATAATAATGATTAAAATGAATCAAAAACATTTTTTTTGTTTTATATTAAATTCTAAGAATTTACCTCCATACGGAGAAAGCTGCGGTATATCGATTGATAAGAGCCTCCAGGTGTTGTTTGTTTCTGTAGTAACATTTGTTTTTAACGCATTTAGGAATGTATTATTTGGCAATAAAGTGTATGATAAATCGACGACTGAAAAGTTTTTAAAAAATTCAAAATTTGTCAAATTAATTATTTTATCATATTCATCGTAAAAATAAATCTTTTTGGCGGGGTCATAATAAAATAGGTAGGAGTCTGTGAACGTAAATGTATATCCACCAAGTCTAAATATCAAAATAAATGTTAAATCATTTTCTGAACTATTTAAACTGAACATCCGATTAAATGCTACAACAGATCCCGTGGAAAGGAATCGTATTTTGTAAAATGTTTTCACTGTCATATTTGATGATATATTGCCGTCTGGTGTGGCAATAGGCTTTGCTGCAAATGTAGTCGTAATCATATTAGCATTAGTTGTAGCTGTAATTTTTTCGTTTACATTTAGGATGCATACATAGCCAATAAAAACGTAATCAACGGAACATGCTAAGTAGTCTAATGTTATATTTGTTGATGGTATTTTAAATAAAATAATCGGCTTGCTTGTTTTAGTTTGGTTATAAGCCAAGAATACAGAATATAATCCTATATATTCTAATGAGCTATTACCATTAGCATTTTCTGTTTGATTATACACTATTGCGTATCCGCTATCCAATGTTGCTAAAATGATAAAAAAGCCATTACTTGGACCTATTATGATCGTATCACTTTGTAATAAAATGATTTTGCCATTATCATTGCTAAAAAAAAAAAAAAAAAAAATGGTCAAGTTGTATGAACATGCATATAAAGTACAGTACGTTTTATACGAATTCAACGAACGTACACCATATATTGTTCCCATGCGAAATGGGTCGTTTTTGGCATTAAAGAAAAACGTAAAAACCCTTTTCTTGGATCACGGTTAATTGTTATGCCATAACTTGGTATCCAGGAATTATCTGGTTCCAAATAAGATGATGATATTCCGAAACCGACATTACTAACATGATAATTCATTAACTATCGTGTTATTATCTCTTAAAGCTTTTAATTACACCTTTAACAAACCTTTTATTTTTCCCATTCCAATCGATAACCATTCCCCAATCCTCATATGTTGTATTGTCAGACATATTACTCGCACGAGTGTATGTTATTAGAATATATTGGTTAAATAATGGGTATATACGTA